TTTCATTAGAATGCTACCGCATTAGATCATTGATTTTTAAATAGAGAGTTGTGCACACATGGGTGTGACCAGAATAGGCGTGACTGGAGACGTACGTACATACATACAGAGGGAGGGAGGGAGGGAGGGAGGGAGACTTCGCCTGAGTGGGGCTCGCTTATGCTCGCCCCAATAATAATAATAATAATAATAATAATGTGTATTATTTTCAAATAAGTTATTTGCACCTCAGAACAAGTATACCATTTTATAGTCAGGAGGAGTGAGAGCTTTTAGCACATCTAGGACTACACATTCGTTATGGCATGGAGCAGAGAAACTGTTTTATGTTATGGAAAACCCCGCCCAGTTTTATGTTTATGAACCTATGCCACATTGAATGTACTAGAACTACTCCATGTACTCAATGCTGTAGAAAATCATGTTCGTTTGCTCCCCAGTTTTAGTGTATAAGTGTAGTTCAGTTTAATTAAATAGTTCCACTGCATAGTTTGTGTGGAAATTTAATTTCAAAGGACAGTGATAAATCAAATAATTAATAACGTATTATCTGGTGGTTAATAAAATATTTATTAGTTTTAGCCTTTTGATGGACTAAGACTAGAGTACTCTTGGATGGACGAATCCAGAAATTTGCATTCGATTCCGATTCTGAATACTTTTGAGACTGGAATCGATGGAATCGAATACCGATTCTGCATCTGCGCATGCGCAATGCCACGTGGTCAATAAAAATTCAATAGAGTACACAGCCAAGACTAGTGGAAAAGGTCCATTCACTCCATTGGACTGGAGTATTCCATAATAAAATGGTGGGTGCACGGTGTGAAGGACTGGACGCATTGTAACAATTGCTACACTGAATAGAAGAAACACCCAGTTCATTATAACGTCGTGTGGTCATTTATTCTGTGGGAAATGCTATGGTATAACATAGAATTAATGAACATTTGGATTTTGCTTTTTAAATTATTGTATATTTAGGTGAGAGAGATAAGCTCTGTCTCGTATGTAAGGCAGTGTGTAATTCAGTTCTTGATCTGTCAAAAGAAGTAAATAAAAATAAGTAATTATTAATCGTTCTTTCTCCCTCTACAGGCTCCACCATATGTCACGATATATTTCAAGACTCCTTAGTCCATTATACAGGAATTCGTCCTAAATTTTGAATGAGTATGTACATGTAATACCATATATGGTCAACAATTTAAACCACACCCAATCATTGGCATACCCACGTGTTTCATTACATGTACGTGTACTTTTATTAGGTGGCTAGGTTTCAAAAGGAGCATAGGACTAGATTAGTAAAGCACAAACTACAGAAAGTTAGTTATTAATTAACTATTATA